AGGATTAAGGAGACTCTTTAATATGGTTTTGTTGGGAAAGTGGTGGGGTAGATATTGACGGATGGCAATGCTGGGTTGTTTGGCTTGATTAAAGAAAAATATGGGTTTTAGGAAGGGAACTGGTGTTATTGGTTTGCAGAAGGGAGGGGTGTTGGGTCCAATTGGTGGAGGGATTTGTGTAGATTAGATGTCTTAGAAGAGACTAGGAGGAGTTGGCTGACCGAAAGTTTTGAGCTTGGGATCAGTGATGGTGAAAAAGTTAACTTCTGGAAGGAAAAATGAAATAATGCAGGAGTGCTCGTTAACGATTTTCCGAGGTTATACTTGCTTTCTACAAGGAAAGACAATATTGTACAATAGATGGGAAGACGATATGGCACCTTCATTGGAGACGTGCTCTACACTGTTGCGAGCAGGAATCGATGCAGGAATTTGAAAGACTGCTCATGGAGATCAACCTACTCAAAGGAAAGGAGGACATTTGGACTTGGAAACCAGATAAGTCAGGTGCCTGCTCTGCAAGCTCAATCTACGCTACGTTCGTCCAGCAACAACTTTCACCCCACCGCCCAGTTTTTGAGAAGTCCTTTGATCCCGAATGAAGTTTATAGCTTGACTTGGCTAATACTGCTTGATAGGATTCCAACTAAAACTAACTTGCTCAAAAGAGAATTATTAACGGAGTTGGACGCTGCAAGTTGGAGTTTTTGTGGCCGGAATGTGGACGACAGTGACCATCTCTTTCTTCATTGCACAGTGACATTAAAAATCTGAGCTAAATGTCTCAATTGGTGGGGATTAACTAATGCCGTTGCCAGAACATGTTGGGGATTCTTTTATCCAACATGAATCTTTAGTTACAAGAGACAGGGAACGAATGGGATGGGTGGCAGTATGGTTTTCCTTGGTTTGGACCATTTGAATCACCAGGAATGATATAGTATTTAGAGGTGGCTCGGCTTATTTGGCAAAGATGTTCGATAAAGTGCAGGTATAGGCTTTCCTATGGGTTAAAAACAAAGGGAAGGAGGGCCAATTCTGCCTATCAGATTGGATTCTCAATCCTTGGTACTGCAAAATTTTGTAAATGGGCCTATGAATGCTTCACTCATTTCTTTTTAGTACCGTGGGGATTTGATAAAATGCACATTAGTTTGAGTATCTCTTATACTTACTCAACAAAGATCTTTACTTTAAAAAAAACAAACAAAATTATTATTTTTCCATGTTGTAAGAGATATCTTTTTTACTTTTAACTTTATCGTCCCAAAATTTTTAATTTGGGAAAAATGTCAAAAAAAATAAAAATGATAGTGGATAAGGGATGCTGATTAACGTCAAAAAATGCTTACACTTTTCTGCCTTTTTAAAAGAATGTGCGGGATATGCTGCTCTGCAGTACAAGTGGGTGTGGTTGTCACGCTCCAGAACCCAAATCCGAGGCGCGACAGATGCCGTGCATTCGTGAGACGGGTCCCACAAATGCACAAGACTCGGAACTTACTGAACAAAATCAGTTTTGATACCATAAAATTTCCAATTAAAATCTAACTTACAAGAGTGTGGTGTACATGTATCTAAAATCTATGTCAAATCTCAAGTGGCTAGCCTTTTATCATGTCACTCCCCTTGATTTCCGAGTCTCGGGGCACACTACCTGAAATGGTGGACGAGAAAAACGAGGTGAGATAATTTAGTAAGTAAAATATGGATTGCCCTTAATTAAACTTGTAGCATGCCAACAAGTGCAATCACGAAAAACGGATACAGTACAGGCACGAAATAGACGTCTCCTCTATAGGTCATGGCCAGCGTTTATAAATCTCCCACTGGCGGGCACACGAGTACTAGTGTATAATCCCCACTAGTAGGGCCACGAGCGAACCGGTTCTATCACGAACATGTCGACATGTGCTAGCGTTTATAAACCTCCCACTAGCGGGCACACGAATAACATGACCATATCGGAGACAAAACAGGCAAAAGTTAACAAGAAAATCACAATTCACAATCACTTTCACATCATCAGGACAATCACTTAAATTTCAAGTAGGCATGCTCAATTTAATGAAAAGCATAAAACATTTCACTTCAAATCAGTCATACTTGTGTAAAACGGGTTTAGTCTCGCCACCATTTCAAAAACAAATCAAAACATGCTTGAAAAGTCGAAGGGCGTTACCATAATTTTACTTACCTCACTCCGCAAAACCGAGCACTCAATTCACGTACTAAACTGACAGAATGATCAAGAACCTAATCAAAATATTCCAAGAATTAATACCACTTTCCTTTTCATTTTCCCATCACGTTCTCACAACCAAACAAAACCCCAATCAATAATACATCACTACTGGACTAAAATTAATCCAATGCCATAACTAACGTATTCCATGAGATTTTCTACTCAAATTAATTAAAATTCAACGGATGAACAGTGCACATAAACAGTGCACGCAGTGAACAGTAACTGTAACTTCTAGAATTTGGCGAGGAGCAAAATTTGCAGCAAATGGCAAGAAATTTGGGGGAAAACAATGCAGAAAAATAGCAAGGAAAAATGCTGCAAAATGCAGAATTTTTCTGGAGAAAATACAGAGTTTTCTGGTCAAAACAGTGCAGGAAAATGCAGAATGTTTCTGCGTGAACAGTAAAAACAGCAGCAACTTGCAGAAAAATGCAGCAGCAAGTGCAGAAAAATGCAGCAGCAAGTTTGCAGAAAAATGCAGCAGAAAATGCAGAAAACGCAGCAGCAAATTGCAAAATTTCCTGCGTGAACAGTAACTGCGCGTGAATAGTAAAATTTTGGCAAAACAGCAGGATTTTCCACACAGAACAGCAGTTAATTTCAAGCCAAAAACAGGATTATTTCTACATGAATTAAGCTAAAAAAAACATGTTTAAAATGCTGCCAAATTCTTCCATATTTCGGCAGAAATCCGGACAGCACAACAGAGGGTTTTCGGATAACACGGGCAGCAACTAATTAACCATTTTTGGACTTAAAGATGCCATCAACATACCAGTATTTTTCCAGTAGCCAAAACCCGAGCTGGCGGGTATGGAGGCCGACAGAGACTGGAGAAGAAATCATGAAAACTACCACAAAATTGCAAGAAACAAAAGGGATTAGAGAGACCCAAGCCAAATTAAAGCTAAAGAGATGAACTTGAAGCTGGTTCTTACCAAAAATCCCGAAGGATTCACACCCAGCAGAACAGCGGACAGACCAAGGGAAGAAACAGAGCAGATCTGAAATTCCCACTTCAAAGGGAGGGTTCTAGGTCCTAAAATCAGTTCTTTAACAAGAAAAGGAAGGGAAAAATCATGCTTGTTACCAATTTTTCTCAAAGGGGATGAGTCGGTGGCTTAGGGGAGCTTCGGTCGACAGAGGAGAGGAAAAATGAAGATGAAGAGCAAAACACGTGGCTGAGGATAAAAATATCAGCCTTGATCCTTATCCAAATTTCCTTTCTTTTAAGTCTTTGAACTTTTAAAATATTTGTTATTAAATTTATTAATAATATTTCTTCACAATTAGGTCCCTAACTCACTTTAATGCTCAGAAATTTTGGGGTATTACAGTGGTGCTGCGAGCGCCCACTTTTTTATTGGTGGTTCACTAGCAGTATCAACACCCCAATTTTGATCACAAAACAGGTGTTAGCACCTGTTGAAAAATTAAATAAAATATTAATTAAAATGAATTGGGGTTGAAGAATAAACATGGAATTTTATAATTTGTTTGGGATTTTAACTTATTAATAATTAATGTAAATTTTAAGTTTTTGATTGTTTGTGTCTTGAATTTAAAATTATTTTTTCAAGTTTGAGTTAATTAAAATTACAATTATGGTTGTAATTTTAAATTATGATTTTGAAGCATGATTTCTACTAGTTTTGAGATAGTGGCAATGTGTATATATATATATATATAAACTCATTTTGTTTTAAATACCATTATTAAATCTTCTTTTATTTTTAAGTTGAATTTTACTCGGTTAAGTATGCCTATTTATGAAGATTACTTGATACTTGTTACTTGATATATGAGATACTTGTTTTCTTGAAATGAACATGTTTACTTGAGATATACTTATTAGCCTGATTTAATCTTTGATTTAGTCTTGTTATACTTGTGCCCACTAGTGGAGTTTTATAAATGATAACACATGTGAACATGTCACTTATAGAATCGGTTCATTTTTGTTATACTTGTTATCTTGCTACGGAGATTATATACTAACAATCTTGTGCCTACCAATGGGAGGTTTATAAACTTTGACCATGACTTGTAGAGTTTACATCTATCTTGTTACCCGTACTTGCACCTATTTTACTTGATATTGCAACTTATACTTGTTAGCATGCTTGGCAAAAAAAAAAAAAAAAGGAGAAACCGAATATTCACTTACTGGAATTATATTTCACATTTTTCCTTATCCACCATTTTGGGTAACAATGCTAAAGACATTGGGGATCAAGGTTTGTGATGGTTTCTTATTAGATTCGATTTGGATTTAGTTGAGATTTAGTTTAGTTTTTTAGACTTATTTGTCAGTATTACAAATGTGGGGGACCTAATTAGCAGTTGTTGCATAATTTGACTTAAAGTATTTATTTGGATATTATTTGACTTTTAGTTTTATTGAGATATTTTCAACTTTGGTTATTAGTTTGGCCTTGCATAATAGATTAACTTGATTGCCTCGTGCAGTTGTGGGTCTCACTCACAAGTGGGACCCACAAGTGCACAAGCATATGTTCCCTTTTAGAGTCTGTTTTTTAGTCAAGAGAGGATTTGCTTGATAAACTAGTTCATTATTTTCATTCAAGATTTAACATATTATTATAATTAGGAAATAATGTCTATCTGTCTTACTTCTAAAAAATATATTAGGAAAAATATTATTTAAGAACTATGTCATTTCAATAAAGTAACATAAGAAAAATTCAAAAACAATATAATTCATACTTTAAAAGTAGGGTATATTAGTTTTTTTCCATAGGAGTTTTTTTGAAAAGAAATAATTTTAGAATAATTTTTCACTCAATTTTATAGAGGTGTAACGGATAAATACGAATCTTTTATAATTGTTAAATAATAATAATAGTTTTAGTATGATTAAACATGTTTATATTTTTAGTTGTTGGTTTAAAATTTTCCTTGAACAAATTTTTAGTTTCTGATTTTTAATTTTGATTTCCAATAGCTACAAAAAAATTTTTAACTAAAATAAAAAATAAAAAATAATAACCTTACTAAATGAAACCTAAATAATTTGAACATTCCCCTTGGTGTAAACTACCATAGGCATCCTTGTTATTCTAGCATTCCCTAGCTTTTTTTTTTTTTTTTGGGCCCTTGGTGTCTTTGAAAATTTTCTCAAGGTTTTAATAAATAATTATATATTTTAAGAAAACAAAATTAAATGTATTATTGGGTACATTGCC